GCCGTTGATCTCCAGCCTCATCCCCCTTCCTCCTCCTCCCCCTCCCGACCTGTTCTCATTCGCATTCGCCACCTTCCTCCGCAGCTCCGCCCGGCACGCCGCCTCCGCTCTGCACGCATGCGCTGCGGCCTCCAGCGCTGCCTTTGCAGCTGCGGCTGCCTTCACGGCCGCGCTCGCCTTAGCTGCTGCGTTCGCCTTCGCTGCCGCTGCCACCTTCGCCGCTGTCGCTGCGGCGCTGCGAGCCGCCACGGCTGCTTCTTGGGGTGACCGTCCCTCCAACTGCACCTGCCCCGGCGACGCCACCTTCCGGGGAGCCACCATGCTCCCCGCCCTCCCCTCTCCCGCTGCGTCCGTCCCTGCCCCCGACCTCTGCCTCTCGAATCGAGAACTGTCCGGGTGCCTCATCATCCGCGGCTTCTTCAGCGCCGGACTCAACCCCTCCAGTCCCACCACCACCCCCGCGCCTCCTGACCCTCCTGCCCTCGCCTCCCCGTGATGATGATGCCCCCCCGCCCTCCCCGCCCGCTCGGTCTGCTCCGAGCTCCCGTCACCCCGTTCGCCTCCCTGTGCCGCCGCGCCGTGTTCACGCAGTCCACGCACACGTACGACGCCGTGTCTGCCATCGCCCCGCTCGCCTTCTGCTCGCACTCCGGATGCACCGACCGCCTGCATCGACTGCACACCAGCCACATCGACGGGTCCCCTAACAGGCTCGCGTCGTGGTACATCGCCAGGCAATGCGGGCAGAACATGCTCTTCGAATACAGCACCGCACACGCGCTGCACAACCGCAGCGACACCCCGCCCCGCTTAATTCTCCGCATTCCGTCGCTCTCCACCACGCTGCACCCCATGCAACCCCCGTCTTCCAGCTTGCGCCCCATTCCTTCGCCCCCGACGCCCGCCCCCTCGCTCCCCACCCCCACCGCATGCCCACCCCCCGCGCTCGCCGACACGGCAGGTGGCGGGGACGTGGGCAGCCATCCATTCTGCTTCAACCCCGCCAGCAATCGCTTCCGAGGAGGAAGCGACCCTCCTTCCATCAACGCCCGGGGTGCTGCCGCTCCCGCGCTGTCCCCGGAGTCCAGAGGGGCCACTGCTCTCACTCTCGCGTCGGTGTCCCCCATGCCACTGCCCTTCCCCCTTGCACCACGCCGGACCCTTCACAGTGTCCAATAATCTTGCAAACCCTGTCGTTGTCGCTCTCACTGATGGAGACTATATTAGGTTCGGTTGGTATAAGCACCACATTGCAATGTTGAGGAGGAGGGGGAGTACACATCCCCTTCTGCTCGACTTTCTGATCGTATCTGTGGTCTCCTTGCCAACAACCCTCCTCCCGCCGAAACGAGTTGCTCACTTCTGCCAACAACCAACTTTCACTACCCTGTGATCGTAATCAAAATCGGCTATAAGTCTTCGGTCATATCCACAGTGGAGCGTCTCTACTATGGACAGTTGCGTCACTACGTATCCATCGTCCTTCCGTCGCGTCAAATTCTTCGCTGTGTCTTTCACCCGACTGTTGTCAACCCTCTTACCCTCATCCAAATGTCCTGCCCTTAAGAACGTCGGCAACGGCACCGGTTCCGAATTCCTCACAGCATTGCAGATTGCCTGACCATAATCATAGCGCTTTCAGCAATCACAAGCATCGACTGAAACAGCTCCGCGAGCTCCGACCCCGTCACCTCTACGCTCTGCCTTCAGTCTCCGCATCACACAAAATTCCCACAACCCCTCATCCTATCAACCACTCCAACAGGCTCGAACCCTAGTACCACGTCGCGAGAGCCAAGTTCAAACAAATGAGCTCCGCAAGGGAGCGGGAGCAAGAACCCAACAGACGAGCACCTGGGGGCAATTCACGAGGTAGCGTCGAACACGCGCCAAGACGGGTACAAGCACTCCCCAAGCCAAAACTGAGACGACGATGACGACAACGACGACGACGACCGGGGCGCCATGGCTCCATGTCGCGACGCGTTGGGGGTGCGCACCGCGCACGGAGTCGTCACCCCGGGGCTCGAAATTCTCATGGAGCTTGCTGCAGCAGCGGCGAGCACTCGGATGAGCAGCACCCTAACTCAGGGCCAGGAAAGCGAAGGTGGGTTCCGTGGCAAATCCACCCAGCGATCTGTCCCAATCGAGCTCTTCGCAGCAACACCAACACCACCAGGAGCAAGAGAGCAGGAGCAGGAGGTGGCAATGGCGACAGTAAGTGGTGGGTCAGTGGCGGTCACGTCGAGGGGATGGCCTCTGGGCCTCTGGGTTGACCTGATGGTTCCCGTCAGGCTCGGCAGGTGAGGCATCTATCTCCCTGTGATCCAGATGCTTGCCCCTTTTGAATATTATTATTATTATTATGGTTTTGTGTTGTGTTATGACTCTGCTGTTGGCATGCCCTCATCTATTGCCCCTCGTGATGCCCTTTCTTTTGTTCCATGCGCAGACTCTGCGTTTTTCCCCTTCTCGAACCTTCGACCCAGAAACGGCGTCCTTTTTTTTTTCAAGTTTACTGGGGTTTTGAGTTTTTGCCTTCCGAACCATGAATTTTGCAACGACGAAACTGTGTTTCGTACACTGGAAGGGTTGTTACTGAAGAGTTCTTCTGTTTCTAGAATAGATGAATCACATTACTGTTTCTGTTTTTGAGACGATTGTGTTAATAATAACACGCAGTTTTGACGACAACATGATTCTTTTACAAATGGAGAATGATTACTGACTTAAGGTCTTATAGAATGTGAATTTCATCGTATTGTGTGTGTGACAGTTCCTCATGCTGTTGTTATGTTACATCATTCACGAGTTTCAATGAGAGAATCTAAAAAGTTTTTTTGTCTTTTCTGTTCTTTTCATCACAGGCAACTAGTTCACGTCTGGAATTTTCACAGAATAAGCAGAACACCTCCAGCAGTCGTTTTTTCAGTTATGCTATTCCAAGTTTTAAATGATTTAGTGTACAATAGTGATGGGATTGTAGAATACAGAACTATAAAAACTAAATTGTTGAAGAAATATTTACCTATACATGTGGTTGCGTGTATATATACACATATACATATACACAATGTTTTATTTTTCATTTAGAGCAATTGAAATGTTTTGCACTCGTTCTCTAATGTCGACGCTTTCAGTGGCACACTTCACAACCCATGTAGGCAACGACCAAGTCTTATTTTGGAGCTAAGTGAAGCCAACGTTGAGTCAATGGCACACTCAGCAATTGGGCCTGTACTAATTAGGGATGGCGTAGACACAAAATGAGCGATCTCCATGCACTTCAAGCTCCTCTGATGCACTACTTTTAGGTTTTCGTCTGTCCGCATCTCCTTTAGGGCTACTGTTTGCGTACACGAGCATGTCGAGAAGTAGCGGATTGCGGAGCATGTTCTGATTCTCCCAGCAGTATTGAATTTTTCGCAGGACTTGAGGTGCTGGAGCTGTACTTGTCGCTGAAAACCCTTCTCGCACCCGTCGTTTTCGGAGGCTGTGAAGATGAATCTTAGCTCAGGGATTGGGTTGAAGCTATCTAGATATGTAGTCAGACAGAATGTGCCGCTGCTCTCTGTCACTTGCAATTTCAAGCTGTCTGTACATGATTTGCGAGGCGCAAGGAGTGGATTCACGAAAGGCGAAGAGTTGCTAGCGAATTCGCAGAAGCGAGAGCATTTCACGTGGCCTGGATCGTTTCGCTCTGCATCTTCTTCCTCGCTACTCTCCACCGTAAGGTGTTCCTCAACTGAGAATCGTGGTAGTGTGGTCAGTGGTTCCTCAGCAGAGGACCTTGTGTCGGATGAGCGGGACGGTACTGAGCAATTGGGAAGGAGGAGGTTGGTATTGTATAGCAAGCCGGGCTGCTGTCTCTGCGACGCTTTGAAAGAGAAGATGCAACTTGCGTTTATGCTAGGAGGCGACAACGATCTATCAGACGTTGAGTTGGAGGTAAACTCGTGACAAGTAGAGCCTTGTTTGTTAACATGGCCACTTAACTTAATCGTCATTTTGAGAGGAAGTTCACTAGTCACAGCACAGATGGGTCCTATTGTCTCCTCAAGGAATTCTGGAAGGCTCATGTTGGGTGCACTTCTTAGCTCTTGCAGTTGCAGAATGATTCTTAATTTACACCTTGGTGCGCTGAAGTAGGTGAGAGATCTTACCACCAATGAAGAATGGGAAAGGGCGTATCAATATGAGATTCCTGTCTTAGCACGTCTGAGAGCGGATAATTCAGAGGTTAAGTTCCTCTGCCGTTCCTATTCGTTTTCATGAGTCTCAACATGGTGATCTCCTTACTTTGGATTTTCGTCTTGGTTGCGTTTGATTCTTCGCTTTAAAACATGGGTGCCGAACCACAATGTTGCTGTATGTTTGCACATTGATTGAAAGGATACTCAACCATGTCCTCACCTAATGCAAGGCTTTAGACATATTCAGTCCTCACACTTAACGTTATGTGTGCAGCAAGTCATTCCAAGGTTTTCTCCCAGACTTACTGTTGAGCAACTTCAAAAGAAGCTTGCTGCCGCTTTGGACTCCAAGAAGTAAAAACATGGTGAATTCGTGCCAAAGCTCGTTAGTTGCTTACAGGTCTATTCTTTGAGCATCAGAGCATTTTTATTTTGTTTTTTGTTTTTTTCTTCACATTGTAGTGACTCAAGACGAGGAACCAGTGTCCAAATAAGGATGGAATTATTGGAGAACCTGCGGATGTAATCTCTTTTGCAATGTAGGTAGGCACGCAGTATTGGGAAGCATGTTCTAACAGATTGGACAGCACATAGATTCGTTCAACTGCATAAAGTTCTTCCATTAGTGAGCAAAATGAAAGCTAGCATTTCATAATCAATACTTATAACTTGAGTTTACAAATTGATGTTGGTCTATCCCTATGCCCAATAATCTCTCCTACAACCACGATACTCAACCTTCATTTCTCGTATTCATAACAGTTACAAACCTCCGACCTAAGCATAATAACGTCACATGCGCAGAGAAACTTTTTATTGTTGAAATTGTATTGCAAAGAATTGTAGGGGAGTGAGAGAGGGCTTCACTGGCACAACCTCTTTCTCATCGTATGAAAGAGGTTTCGCTTTTAAGTTACGAGGCTTCAATTGGAACCTTAAGAAGGATACATTCTCCATCAATGAAGATAGCACTTCGGTGATGCATACACATCCAGGACTCGCAGCAAGTGCTAAGGATCAATGACATAGTTGACCTAAAAAGTGCTAACATAGGCAAGGTGCCCTCTTGTAGATAAGATTCCGAAAGAGTTGAACCTTGCAATGTCTAGGCAATACACACGTCGAAGAATTTGAATGTATTCCCTGTTCTGCGAGATTTATGCTTCGTGCTGCTGCAGCTGATTCTTCTCATATGCTTCACTGTTACTCCGCATTGCTTGGCATAATGGATCGTAACCCTAAAACAGTTCAGAATCATCTGAATGGCCTCACCAGGCACTGAAAGAAAAATACGAAGGAGATTGAATAAACGGTGAAACAAAAGATGGTAGTGACAAGATGAGATTGAACAAATATGGGTGCGTGCAAAAATCCATTATCTTGACATGTATCTTCAATGAATTCATGAAAGAATTGTGCAACAGCAATGATGATCGAGCACAGCAAAAACCACAAACTCGCATCATTATGAAAGACCTGTGAGGATTGCTTCCTAGGGCAACACCTCGTCACTCCCAATTGGCTTCCAGTTGAATCATCAGTCTCCGAGGTTTCACATTGAAACAGCTCTTAATTGAAGCAGCTCTTCATATTTTGCTAAAAACCCACATTTTAAGAATGTAATATGTGTGCGTACAAATATATATACATATATAGATATATATATATATATATATATATAGAGAGAGAGAGAGAGAGAGAGACTTAAACCTTCACAAGTGTTCACTACAAATGTTATGTGGTTTTAGCATCGTTGCTTTACTATCTTGTTATTGTTATACTTCAAGTGGAAGTAAATAAAACTAAAAACATGATTTCATAATCTAATTTTTGATACAGTGAAAAGTTGGATATAGTGTTTTCAACGAATATTTTAAAAATGGACAAATTCTTTAGTCCTTTATGAATTGCAGAGTTTAACAAATACAGATCATTTAATGAAATTTGTATAATAAAAGAATGTTGGTCAAGAGCATTTAAGATCAATAAGTTAATTTCAAAAGTAAGTAGAATATGGTATCCAAGATCAATAAGTTAATTTCAAAAGTAAGTAGAATATGGTGACTTATATTTTTATTATTCGATCAAATAATTATTCTCAAAAGAAGAAACTACTCTTATGAATATTAGTTATGAAATAAATAAATATAAATTACTTATAAATATACTATTTTTTTAAAGCTTCTTGTACTCTTCAAATAACAAGAAAAAATACAAGAATAATTTGTAATATTTTATATGAAATTAAGTTAGTGAAAACCATAAAATTGAATGTATTTTCACTCATTAGAAATTCATAATAAAAAATTTTCTTTTCATGTGTCTTAATTTTTTTATTAACCAAGTATTAATATTTATTTCTATACAAATTTTTTAATTGATTAAAATAAAATTTGGCACAAAAAACTCAAATTCATATATATATATATATATATGATTTTTTATTGCAAGATTATTGCAACAATAAAATCTTAAAAAATAAATATTTACAAAGGTATTTTTAGAATTTACATATTTATGATAAGTCAAATATTTATAAGATATTTCACAAATGTGTATAAGAAAGCTAAATTTTTTTTAGAAATATACTAAATTTTAAAATAATCAATTTAAATATATTTTTTAATATTAAGTAACTTTAAAAAAAACAATATGTATTATAATAATAATAAATATATATTTACAAAATCTAAAAACTTAATTTACTTTTAGAAAATTTATTATTAAATATTTATTCTATTTATTCGATTTAATTTTTGATTAGATTAAACAAATCTTCAAGTTTATATTTCAAATTTCAAATTAATATTTTTAATTAGAACCCAAAGAAAAGATGAACTATCAATCATTATGAATATAAATAAGATATATATATATATATATATATATATATATATATAAACATATATGCTAAAAAATATTCATAAAAATTCTTGTTTGAAGTAACACAATATGGAATTTATAATATAATATTTTATTTATAAGTATTTAATATTATTGTAGTCTTTGCATGTATTTAATTATTTCCAATATAATATCTAAATTTTATATATTTATAATATATATATATATATATATATATATATATATATATATATGAATGAATATTTTATAATTTATGTAATTATTTGAAATTTATATAAAAAATATTTTTTTATTTTTATGAGATTATATTTTCTATTTATAGTATAAAATATTTAAAAGAAATTTTTATAGGAACAAATTATCTAAAATAAAATAGAATAAAATATGTGTTTTTGGAACAAGTATCCAAAATAAAATAAAATACATATGTTTATATATAGTGACAAAGATTTCTATTTATTTTTATTTCATGTTTATATATATATACACACATACACACACACACACACACACACACACACATATATATATATTTATATATATATATATATATATACATACATACATATACATAAAAATCTACCCCACTTAATTTATAACCTTGGTGAATGGAGCTTTAAAAAAATAAAAATAAAAAAAAACTTTGGTCTTTAATTCTTTTGTATAATGGTTTTAAAAATCACATAATTAGAAGTGAGATTCATATGGCTATTCATGTTATTAACACAATTTATGGATGCTGTAAATATTGTAAATCAATATTGTTAGAAAAATTTTCAAATTAATCTCAATAATCATAAAAAATTTAAACACTTTTTTTGAAGTTGGAATTTATTTAATTTCAAACTTTTTGTATAGATTTTCTTTTAATAATCTTCCTTGAACTTAGTTTTTTTGGTATCTATAACAGTAGCTAAAATTTCCTTAAACAAATATCATGGGATCAACTTAATAGTTTTTTGGAGAGATTGTATTTATACAAAACCATGTAGCAACTTTGGAGTTTTGTAATATTGAGTAATTTCACTTACCACATTTTTCTAACATTATAAAACAGATAAGTCTTGTGTAGCTATATTCATCTTTTATTTATTTTGTACAAAATATGCTAGTGGATTAGTTATATATGAATTCGTGGTTAAATTTCAAACCTCCAAAGCTACTGAATCACCAAAATAGATATACAATATATATTCTTTCTTCTACCATGATTAAAAATCTAATTTTTCATTTCTACTTTTAAAAAGAAATGAAAGTGATTTCTTCATATGTTTTAAAAATATAGTTAACTTTTCAATCAACTACAAATATTTGTCTTCTTTTTGAGATATTCACTATCTTATTTGATTAAAGAAGAGAGAGATGAAATACAAGATGGATCTTCATAGACTCTAATAAATATAATTGATAAGCAAAAAGATTGACTTATTTATAAATAAAAAAGATCTAAGCCTACAATAGTCCAACTTATCACAACAACAAATAGACTTGATATTACGATGAAGTAATCATACCTTGCCATCCATGTTGAATTGTGATTATTCCTTGTAATAGGCATCCGCATTAATTTTTTTGTCATTTTTGAGCTTCTTTTAACTATGCCTACATTGTTACATATAGCTCTAAGAAATAATTTACTAAATCTTCTGCCATAGGATTATTTATTTTTGAAAAGTCAAAAGTATCAAGCTTTGGATGATAATCATAATTGGCTAAGAAAGATGTTTCTTGAGTAGAAAAATGTATCAAATTATTGTATATAAACTTTGTCAATGGCAAAAGAGTTGTTCAATCATCTTGATGATAGTTGATGGTTCACCTCAAATACTGCTCTAGAACTTGATTCATTCATTTTATTTGCCTATCACTTCGAAGATGAAAAGTCAAAGAGAACTTTATATCTACCTTTAAAATCTTTTTTTTTTTTTTTTTTTTTTTTTTTTAAATCTTGATACAAATTGAATTTTTTTATCTAATAAAATATCTTTAAGTAATCCATAATAATGATAGATGTTTTCAATAAAAAGCTTAGTTGTTACTTCATCTACAATAGATTTTATATATAATATAAATATAACATCTTGATAAAATGATCTAATATCATGAATATAGAATCATATGAACTTCAAATTGAAAGATTCGTGATAAAATCCATGGAAACATAAGATCATAGTTGTTTTGGAATAGATAATGGCTAAAAAAGTCTATAAGATTAATAATAAGGAATTTTTTATCTTGAAAAAATGTCATATGATTGAACAAAGTCTTTCATAGCCTTTCATATTTGAGGCCATCAAAAATGATTTAAAAATAGTTCTAAAGTTTTGTTGCAACTAAAATGTCATATCATTTGAAAGTTGTGACATGCTTGAAGAACTTGTAAATGTAATTCTCTTGTTGAAATACATAGGTGACCTTTAAAATACAATATATTGTTCTTGAACTTGAACTTGAAAGTATCATGAGACTTAAAAGAAATATACTTGATATCATGAACAGAAGAATCAAAGGACATACTTAATTGGATTTCTTACACAAAAATTGAATTAACAATCAATGTTAATTTTATTGCTTGAAGGTGAAAATGCTCTAACTTTAAGAAAACTATTTTTTATTGATCAAAAGATGCATCTCCTTATTTTGATGCAAGATAAGAATATTTAGTAAAGATGTCTAATAAATCATATTATTTTTTGAATCAATAAGTGATCTTGAAAATAAATCTTAATAAAGACATGCTCTAACAATCTTGTCAATGATTCAAAACATATACCAACATGAAATACTTGAGGTTCTTATGATTTATATATACAATAATT